CATGCTAAGATCATTAACTGACGTTAGGTGTAAAATAAACGGGATGTTTAATAGTTAACAGCCTGGACATGAATGTGAACTGATCCATGTTGTATGCAGCGCTTTGAGTTCTCCGGGAGAGTAGAAAAGCACTATATAAGAATCAGTACATTTACCATCCACACAAAAAAGCACTGGTGTTATAATCAAAGTGTAACAGATACATTTTTCTTTCTTTACATAATTATGACATTTAAAAAGTGGCCGATTTTCATCTCTGGCCTGCAGGCAAATGCTGACCCATCCGTCATCAGCTGCATGCACAACCTGTCACGCCGCATTGCCATTGCTCTGCAGCACGAGGAGCGCCGCTGCCAGTATCTGACCCGCGAGGCCAAACTCATGCTGGCCGTCCAGGAGGAAATTACCACGACTGAAAGTGAGATACAAGCTCAGACTACACATCAAATTTGCAGCTTGGTCTTAGTCAAACTTACATCTTTGTTAACATAGAATATTGGTATTTTGCTTCTGGTATCAGCAGATGGAAGCCCCCAGTCCCCATTTAGACAAATTCTTCCAAAATGTAAGCTAGCAAGAGACCTCAAGGAGGCGTATGACAGGTGTGTGACCACATGCATTTTACATTCATTTGTTTGGATTTTCTGTCTAAATTTGTGTAATATATGATTCTGCAATTGCTGATTCTGATGATGGCGCTTTTTCAGCCTTTGTACAACCGGTGTGGTGCGACTTCACATCAACGACTGGCTGGAGGTGAGCTTCTGTTTACCGCACAAGATCCACAGGATTGGTGACACCTACATCCCCCCAGAGGCATTAGAGCGCAGCCTTAAGGCCATAAGGTATATTACAGATTTGTTTTTCTTTTCATGTTACGTTTTCTTACATCTCACAACATCTTATTTGATTAGCTGTAACTAGAAGTACCTTGTTTACAGTAAAAGACACGGGAAGGGTGGGGAAGGGGAATATCTGTTCTAGATTAAATAAAATCAGCAGATGTGGGCTGTGTTGCTACAAATGGCCAATTAAAAACACCTATAGACCTCATTTGTCAAAACATACCCACATGGGTGTAATAGTTAATGCTTTTTTTTTATGTCATATTTAAAATGATATTATTTATATTACACATTCATAACTTACTCTGTGGTTTCTGTGGATTCCTTCTGTTTTTTCACACATTGCATCTTTTCATGACAAAATAAGTTCATCCAGTTGCATTTCTGCAACTAAAAATGGACTTATCACAACTTATAACTTCAGCAATCATTCAAATGCACACATTTGTACTACGTTGGCTAGTCAGCTTAGGTCTATACATAACCATCAAATAACACAGCTTTGTCAAAATCCCTCCTTGATCCACAGGTCACCTTAGTCGCCCTTTAGTCAGAATAATCTAATTTCCCCTCAGTTTATGTCAAAGACGTTTTGTGCCTTAAGTAGCTGGATTGTATTTGGTAAGCAAATGTATGTACTTAATATATAAAGCACTCAAACGATGCAGAATTTAGTGTGGTCTTTAGTGCGACCTACTGGCATTTCAATGTAATAGCTGTAGTTTTGATCAGCTCTCTCATTAGTTGCTTCATTAGTTGCCCTGTGCAGGTACTTGGTTGGACCCCTGTTATCCTTCAGAATTCTTCATGGCATAGTTTTAACAAGGTGCTGGAAACATTCTTCTGAGATTTGGGGCCATGTTGACATAATAACATCACAAACAGGTTGCTGCAGATTTGTCAGTTTGTAAATGCAATTGGGATTTCTGTCAAATTTTAATGAGTCTGTGTAAGCCTGTGTAGCCTCAGTTTCCTGTTCATATTTGACATGAGTGGCAGTGGGGTGGTCTACTGCTGTAGCCCATCTATTCCTAGGTTCAATGTGTTGTACATTCAGAGATG